CTCTAGCACCACTTAATTTTTCAAGCTGGCTATTAACATTTCTTACATTATAGATAAAAAAAGATGCTTTTTTTTTTTTTAGCAAAGAAAGATCATAGACCTGAGGTCAACAGCTGGCTCAGATTAAACCTAACCCAGCACCCTTTCTACCAAGCCTTTCCTTGCTAAAATCTAGTGCTAGGACTTACCTGATACTGCCCGAGTCCAAGGGCTGGACTCTGGAGCTGCTGGATAATCGATTCATCAAAGTAGCCATTTTTCTCCCACAGCTGAAGGAGCTGTGGGAAATCAAGAGGAAGAGAAAGGCTGTTACTTGGCAGGCCGGACTTCAGGCAAGCTCTTGGCTGCCCCTGAAGTAAAGCCGAGCTGCTCACCCTGGCGATCTTCTGTTGTTTGTCCTCCTCCACAGCCAGGAAGCTAGTGCAGTAAATGGGCACCACCACTTTTTGCAGGGCTGCCAGGAGATCACGTTGTTGCTTCCGCTGGCTGAAAACAAGGCAAGAACAAGGGCTTCATTAGAGGAGTAGATTATTTTAAGTATGTAGAGTTCTTGACCTGGACATCTAAAGCATTTCAAGTCACACACAAGCTTACTACATCCTAGGTTCCTCTAGATGTCTGTCAAGCAGTCTTAATAAAGATGCTAAAAAACCCACACCTATATTCCAAATAAGGGCCAATTTCATGTATACTTGGCTCCCTGTTTTTCAAAATTTGCTCAAGTTTTTCAGCCAAAACATTTTTATTTAATATTTGGTATTTAAAATAGGGGTTTTGGTTACCATTTCGGATTGCTTTACAAGTGATTACTAGAATTATCTAAGTCAGGGGTGTCAAACTGGCGTCCCGGATGCGTCAAGCGCAGGCCACACCCACCCCAGCTCCGCGAATGGGAAAAACATTGCAAAAGTCACATGATGGTGATGTGACACAGCAAGTTTGATACCTGTGATCTAAATGTCTTTAAATTCTCTGTAGTGCCAATATAACATGCAGATTAGTAACTCCTGGAACCTATCTGTCAAGGTGGGTCTGAGCAAGCATTCATCATCCATTCCTTTGCCCTGGGAACCTAAGAATGGGCCCAGAAAGAACCACTTCTCACCAATGGTGGAGGACATCGTTAATCAGATAGATTAAATGTAGTCGCAGTTCAAAATGTGCTCCCTCGGCAGTGATCTGATTGCGCAGATGCTCAGCCATTAGTTCACAATGCTGGGGAGACTTGGCATTGCTGAACATCCAGTTCTTTCCAGCCTGAGAACATAAAATAGTGTGAAAGTATTAGTGTGATAGTAAACAAAAGTGTAAAACAGTGTGATAGTAAACAAAAGTTCAGGTTCATAAAAAAGATTAGGTGCAAAATAAACCAACCCAGGAGCCGGAACAGAGTTAAAAAATATTACAAATTTATTTCATGCTCCTATACACAAGAATCTGATCTACTAACGGTCAAGGGAAATTGGTGCTAGATAAGAATCAATGGAATTCAAGGGGGACTGGACTCAGGTCTCTTGTGTGAGTGGCGTGACTTCAAACCGATGATGAGTTTGACCCCATCAAAATTATGATTATTGGGACTGTGATTTCTGTTCCTAAGCAATGCAATTGTAAAGTATGACTGCATTGCTTACCAGCAGCAATTTCTGCAGTCCAAACTATCATGAACCCATGACAACACAGCAGTCACAGTAGTCCTCACAGTAGAAATCACCAATTGAAATTATAAGCTATAATAAATAATTGGAGATCATTACATGGATTCATACTTCACTTAAGAATTGACTTTTTTATTTAAAGAGTTTCTATCACAATTTCATGAGCTACTTCAATTTGAATGTAGTAGTTTCTCAACCTTAATTCAATTTTCTATAACTTTTCCAGTTTTGTAGATATACCAGATCTGCTCAATATACCAAGACAGATCCACTTCATTGTTCTATTGTTAGTACTCCACTTATCTTAAAGCTATGATGGAGAAACACTGCTCCAGAGAATAATCAGAATGGATAGACTTGATTGCTAACTCCTACTAATATCTACAAAGAATTTCATGACCATTTCATGAGTCTTCTTCAAACATGTAACAAACATTTTATCTTTGTACCAGATACCACTTTGCTCTGATTTTGCCATTACTTACAGAGATAGCATCTTTGGTGCATGTGTCAATGATTGGTTGTAGCAAGTTATCAAACTCATTCATGTCCAGCTGGGTTTCCTCTAAGACTTTCTGCATTTGTTGCTCAATACCCACAGCTATTGCAGAGGTGATTTGCTCCTAAGCAGAATTAAAGAGAATTAAAAAGGACAACCAAAATCACCACTCAGCAGTTACTCCAAATTTTCCTACTTCTAAATCATGTTTGACTGCAACACTTCTGACATTTAATGATCTATGGCAGAGGCAGTCCTTCTTTTAAGCTACAATTTGCTCTGCTTGAACTGGAAAAATACTTTTTTTTCCTCAAATAAAACAATACACCTGCCCAGAGCCAAATCGCAAAGCAAGAATCCACCCAAACAGGAACAGCAGGTTCTTAGTAGATTCAGCGACCATATTTCAAATAAAGTCATTGCAGAGGGTATAAGAAAAACAAGACAATACTCAGTAACAATTCTTCAGTGTCTCTGAAATAGCCTGTATTCTAAATACTTCTGAATGAATCATTTTCACATCTTTCTTAAATAACCAGCATATTCCACTGCAAATACAATATTTGCCAAGTACCTTGCAACTTTGATGTAGAGTTATATCAAAACAATTGGTACGATTTATGATGGCTTGCCCAAACCAATCCAAAGTCTAAGATCAACAATACTTTTGTCAAATCCATACCTGTCGCAGGGCAAGGAGGTGCTGCTCCTGCTGCTGGAGATTCCATTGGCTTTGCTGGATCAATTCCTCCATTGAAGGAGTCCCCTGAGGAGTGGTAATAGGGGCAGCAGGAGCCAAAGGTGGCTGGGGAATTGGCTGAATCGGTGGGGCAGCCTCAATATCTTGACCTTGCTTGCACAATACTGTAAAGGAGGAGCACAGAAGCCTAAGATAGCCATGTCTGAATATTGGATCATATATTCTCTTCCCCAGTTATCAAACATTTTGCAAACAGCACGTTGCTGGTGGAAAATTTCTCATCCCGATAAAGGAAACTGCTTTCTTTAGGAGAAGTGAAGATCTGGAGAGTGGTTTTTAAAAATGGCTTTTTGGAAATGAGGATTCCCGAGTCCTTTTCCCTACCTAAGGCTAGTCATCAAAAGTTACTTATTGATGATTTCTATGCACAAGTAATTCTGAAGTTATCCAAAGAAATTGGGACCTTCAGCTAAAATATTAACAGGTATGCAGCAGCTTTGCTCTAAAATAATCAGGAACAAGTTTCAAAATATGCAAGTGACATACGTGTTCTTTTCTACAACCTTCAGCAATCCCAAAGACTGTTTAAATTTCAGAAAGAAAGTGGGGGGAATTCAAGCAGTTCTTGAAATTAAGATACATAGCAAATAAAGAACCAAGACAACAATATCTAGCCTCTTAGAATACACCTAGCTTGAATGCTACATATTTTTTTAAAAAATTCATGGGTCTCTTAAGAATTCAATTGAATGATGAGCTGCAGTGAATTTCTGCTCAAACCAGTCATCCCCAAGAATATAATGGAGCATCTCAGTGTGTAGAAGACAGGCAATGTAACTAACCCAAGAACTAATGAAGTCAAATAATACAACCATTTTATAGTCTCTTAGCTTCAGACACTTCCCATTCTATTTGCAAAATGGGGCTAAAAACAGCAATCCTCTTTTTAGCATTGCTGATACCATATGGTATGTTTTGAACAGTTTATATTATCCACAGCAAATTCTCTTACCACCCTCCTCCCTAACTCACACTGTTGCTGCTCCAGAGCCAGCTTATATTTGTAATAACCATAGAAATCTCCTCCAAACAGAAATGAGAATTTAGGATTTTCCTTTTGCTTCTCCATTGTCATCTTTTCAAACTCAGGACCATTCCGCGCCACAAACTGGGCCAGTTTGTCAATGACATTGCGTAGTTCTTGATCTGTGAGGAAGGAGGAGAAAGAGTAAGAAAAGATATCACTGTGCATTTTTAACTATTAACAGAGTTGGGAGGACCTTGTAGGTCAGGGATCGCCAACCTTTTGGACCTCAGGGACCACCAAACTCATAATTTTAAATCCCGGGGACCACATGAATTTTGACTGACAGTTGCTTGCTGACGTTGGTGGGAGAGAGAGATCGATCTGATCTAATCTCCCTCCCTCCCTCTCTCTCTCTCTCTCTCACACACACACACACAAAGAGGCAGGGGTGGGATTCAAATTTCTTAACAACCGGTTCTTGGACGTGGCATAATTTGTGGGTGGTCATGTGACTGGCTGGGAATGGCTTGTATGTAAATATTATATTTATGTACATATTGAATTTTTTATAAAAAAAGAGCAACTTTTACCCAAAATCAGGCAAAGCAGGCAGGCAGATTGAGTTGCTCACAGAATCACAGATCCATTTAGATATCTGTGTTTCTGCCATCGGCTATCTGAGTCTGCAACTGAATAATAGAACCTTTAGTCCAAAAGGAGGTTTGGCTCTGCTTTTAAGGATCTAAAGATTAGCTAGAAAGCAAGAAATCCAACATTTTCCTGTTTTCTAGCTAATCTAAATCTCCTGGCACAGCAGAACTGCTGATGGTCGGGGGAAAAAAAAAGGAAAAATAGCAACTTAGCAGGCAAGTTTGCCAGGTAAGGGGTAAGTGGGTGGGGAGGGTTCCCGCGGGCCACGTGTGCAGCGCAGCAGCTTTATCTTCTGGTCGGCGCAGCCTGGATTAATTGCTTTGGGGGGTTTAGTTTAGTTTAGTTTAGTTTAGTTTATTGTCATTGCACCTCGTACAATGAAATCAAACACCATCTTCAGTGCACATCATGACCATGAAAATAAACACAAACACACATCCTTCACCCTCCACACATTGAACGGAAAACCCGACACCGCACCAACACTGCACTACACAGCAGAATTCAAAAGAGCTACTGCCCTGGGATAGAAGCTGTTTTTCAGCCTATTTGTCCTTGTTTTTATTAGTTTGTACTGTCTGCAAATGGTAATAGTTCAAAAAAGGGTTCCCAGGATGAGATGGATCTTTAAGAATGTTTTGAACTTTCTTAAGGCAGCGGGAGCTACAAAGCTCTTCCAAAGAGGGGAGAGGGCAACCAGTGATCTTCTGGGCAATGACGTTAACCCTCTGGAGTGCTGTCCTATCTGCCACTGTGCAATTGGCAAACCATACAGAGGTGCAGTATGTTAAAATGCTCTCTATGGTGCAGCGGTAGAACGTCACCAGCAGTTTTTCATTCAATTGTTGTTTTCTGAGAAGTCTCAGGTAGTATAATTTCTGCTGGGCCCTTTTGACCAGTGCTGCAATGTGAGCACCCCAGGTCACGTCCTCTTTTATGGTAACACCTAGAAACTTAAAACTGGCCACTTGCTCCACTTGGTCTCCATTGATAAGCAAGGGTGCTCTGGGGGTGACATTTCTCTGCGGCCCACCAAAATTTTCTTGCGGCCCACCAGTAGGCTGCGGCCCACTGATTGGCGACCACTGTTGTAGGTCATCTAGTCCAACCCCCACCGCCACCCCACAGAAGAACCTTCCTACACCATTTCTGACAGATGGCGGTCCAGTCTCTTCTTGAAAGCTTCCAGTGATGAAGCTCCCACAGCTTAATTTATAAATTAAGAAATCACCTCTACTTAATCACCAATCTATAAATCATGACTTAAGAAAGTGCTATGGGTAATCACCAAAATAAAACAGGAAACAGATACCAATTGTACAAAAAAACAGCAACCCCACCCTACATAATCTGACAGCGTGCTTCCTAGCGCGGACAGATTGATTCTCCAGTGGGTCATTTTTTTAAAAAAAAAAATCTAAATGATGGTGGTCTACTTCACAGATGACCTTCCAGATTCTATCCTCCTTGCTTCCTTTCCCCTTTTATGGAGAACACTTTTTAGGTTTAGATTTTGTATTTTAGATCTTTTCTGATCAGCCTTGAGACTGGCATTCTTATAGGAATAAACATGCGGATTACTTTCAACCCATGAGGGGTTGGCTCCTCTAGCACCTTTGCAGAGCCGAGAACCATTCAAACTACTTATCCCTTTTACCAAGGGGAGGGAAAGGCAGCCAAGCAGCTGGTTCAGAAGTGCCGAACTATTCTTGTATTCTGCTCGAGCAGGTCGCCTCCATCCTACCAGCCGGCACCTGCCAATCCACAGCCAGCGCTGCATCGGGTGCGCGGGTGGGCATAAAACCCACGGAGTTACCGGTTTTTTGAAAGGTAGGGGAAAAGGTTAAGGGGGCGGGGCCCTAAGGTTAATGTGGCTTATGTTAAACATTGTTCCTCCCACATTTTTCGGTTGGGGAAGCCTCTTGGCCTTGGCAAGCACCGTCAAACTGGGCCGAACCTGTCCCTCAAGGCCCCTGAGCATGTGCGGATCGCCTGAGCATGTGCGGAGCGCCTAACCTCCTTTGAAAGCCCGGTTTCTGCCACAAGCCAAAAGCCGTGACGTTGTTACGGAGCATCCTCCCCATTATCAGGCCAGGTTTGGGGGACAGTCGAAGCTGCCCTGCTTACTACACACACACACAGACGGACGGACAGACAGACACGCCGACTTTGTGGCCCACCACCCTCCGAGAGGTCATAGGAGGCTCACCTTCGGGCGGGGGCAGGAGGGGCGGGGGCGGCATCTCCATGGCGGTAAAAGAAAGGGAGGACAACCACTCAAGAGCGCCTTCGGTCACGCTAGGCCCCGCCAGCCGCCAAGCACTCCTCTGTCATAAAAGAAGCCCCGCTTACGACATCGCTTCCTCGATGCTTCGCTCGAGGTCGCTCTTGACGGCTTCGTCGCCATGGAGATCCCGACTCCTCCCCCCCAGCGTTCGAGGGAGGAAGGAGACGTTTTGCCTCGCGAACGACGAGCTTTTGCCTGGGCCAATCAAGTGGCTTCCGATCGAGCGCGCAGATAGAGGCGAAAATCGCCGCTTTCATTCATAGAAAGAGGCTGCTGGAACGCCTCGCGCGATTCCCTGAAGCTGAGGGCTCCAAACTTGGCAACTTTAAGGCTTGTGGACTTCAACTCCCAGAATTCTCCAGCCAGCTGGCTGGAGAATTCTGGGAGTTGAAGTCCACAAGTCTTAAAGTTGCCAAGTTTGGGGACCCCTGAAGCGAGGGGATTTGAGCAATGTGCATTTTTAACAGAGCGATCAAATATTGCAACTTTCTTCCGACCCGTTATTTTCAACGTCCGCCTAGAGATGTGGCGGAATCCCTTTTGTGAGACGAAATTATTTGCACGCTATTTACACACGCGCACACATATTTGTATGGCCGCTTAATGAGTCGGTGGCTCTGGGCGGCTTACGAAAATAACCCAATATACAAACCATAAAAAATAATTACCCCCCTCCCCCCCCATCGATCAATCTGACGAACTTGGTGGGTGTCGTCGCACACCTCAGTTGGCAAAACCAGATAGGTCTTCAGGGTCTTGGGAAACGGGTGACCCTTTTTGAGAGCTGTATGCAACGAAATTCCATTTTAATGTATGCCGATTACTGTACATGCAAAGTGATAATAAAAAGGCTATTCCTATTCCTATACTATTACTATTCTATTCTATACTATCCCATCCCTATTCTATTCCTTTTCCTAATTCTATTCTATTCCATTCCTATTCCATTCCTATTCCTATTCTATCCCTATTCCTAATTCTATTCTATTCCATTCCATTCCTATTCCATTCCTATTCCTAATTCTATTCTATTCCATTCCTATTCCATTCCATTCCTATT